ACCGGGACGGGCAGACGGGACATGGCGCGGCAGGGTGGCAGCTCCCCCGCTTCCCGGCCCCCGCTCACTCAGGGGTCATCCACCTCAACCAGGATGAAGAGGCGGAACTTTGTTGGATTCATGGGGAAACACTGTGACAAGTGATGAGGAAAAAAGGCTGAGCTACTGAATGCCTTTCTTGTCTCAGGCTTGAACAGTAAGAGCAGTTGCCCTCTGGGTATTCGGCCCCCTGAGCTGGAAGACAGGATCTTTATAAATGACATAGTGAGGATCAAGGGCTGCTCAGCAGGTTTGCAGATGACATGAAAATGAGTGCTGCATGTGATACAAAAGGATAGGGTGCCACCCAGAGGAACCTGGACAAACCTGAGAAGTGGGCCTGCAAGAGCCCCACGTAGTTCAACAAGTCCAAAGTGCTGCACATGGACCAGGGCAATCCCAGACATGAGTACAGAGTGGGAAGTGAGCTCATTGAGAGTATCCCAGCAGAGGAGGACTTGGGCTCATGGCTGAATACTTGAACATGAGGTAACTCTGTTCTTGCAGACCAGACAGCCAGATGTGTCCTGGGCTGCATCCAGAGCAGCGTGGGCAGCAGGGCCAGGGAGGGGATTCTGCCCCTCTGCTCTGCTCTGCTGAGACCCCACCTGGAACCCTGCATCCAACTCTGGGGTCCCAGCACAGGAAGGACATGGACCTGTTGGAGAGATTCCAGAGGAGGGCCACAAAAATGATTAGAGGGATGGAGCAACTTTCCTATGAAGAAAGGCTGAAGCAGCTGTGCTTGGTCAGCCTGAAGAAGACTTTGGAGTGACCTTACAGCACTCTCCTGTACCTAAAGGGAGTCTATGGAGAAGCTGGAGAGGGACTTTTGACAAGGATATGTAGTGGTTGGACAAGAGGTAATAGCTTTAGGTTGAAGGAGGGTAATTTTAGATTAGGTATTAGGAAGAAATTCTTTAATGTGAGGCTGTGAGGCACTGGAACAGGCTGCTCAGAGAACCTGTGGATGGCACATCCCTGGCAGTGTTCATGGTAGGGTGGTGCATGGACCTCTGAGCAACCTGGTTAAGTGAAAGGTCTTCCTGCCCTTGGCAAGCGGGCTTGGAACTAGATAATCACAGGATCACAAAATCAGTTACATTGGAAAAGACCTCCGAGATCAAGTCCAACTTTTAACCAAACACCACCTTGTCAACTAGACCATGGCACCAAGGTTGCCATCCAATTATATCTTGAACATCTCCCAGGATGGTGATTTTACCACCTCCCTGAGCAGTCCATTCCAAAGCTTAGCAACACTTTCCATGAAGAAATTCTTCCTGAACCTGAGGCTGTGTCCTGTTGTCCTGACCCTAGAAGAAGCTGACCCCCAACTGCTACAACCTCCTTTCAGACACTGGCAGAGAACAATAAGGTCACTCCTGATCCTCCTCTTCTCCAGGCTAAACAACCTCAGCTCCCTCAGGTCCTCCCCACTGGACTTACAAGGTCACAAGCCATTCTACCACCTGTAAGACAGGTGGCACACACAGGTGTGTGGAAAGCATAATGGAGAAAAATATTTCTGTTTAACAGGGGCAGTGTCAAGCTAGATGGGGAGGAAGCTGTCTTGTGCCAAGCCAATCCTACCTGAACTCTTTTGTTGTACACTGACTTTTTAAAAATCAGTGTGTTTTGACTGAATGTAGAAAACAAACTGGTATCTAAAGTAGATTAAATGGTTTAACACAGGGTAGTTATAAAAGGTCAAAAGATGACCATTTTGTAGGAATGCTCTGTCTCAATGCTCCATTTACCATCCTATACACAGGTTGAATTTAGACTTTCCATTTGCGTTGGTGCCTGAGATGAAAGAACCTATGGATAGCAAATATTCATTTAATTCCTCTATGGTGTTATAAAATATTATGAAAAGTTTCCATTAGAGAAGTATTTTACAGCATTTTAAAGATGTTAGACAAAATTGTGCACATGTTTAGCTTTAGTTTTCCTGTTACGAATACATATATAGCTAGATGATCTTTTAGGAACAAATTTTTTTTTGTGAATTGAAGACTAGATAACCTTTCCAAAATAATGAACTGTTAGGTCTACTTGGAAACACAGCTGTGTTTTGTCGACTCTTTTCCTCATTTCATTCTAGCTTAGAATGGTTGCACTGTGCCTCACCCACAGCCAGAGAAATAAACATAAATCTGTGCTGCAGCTTCGTATCACTCAGTTACTCCTTCCAGTCATTACTTTTAATGAGTTGTTTGTTCCTGAATGAAGCAGTGAAGGTAGATGATTAGAGTAGATTGTGTCCTGAATCGTGCAATGTCACTACTATGCTTTGCTTAGTGCAATAATCAAGAAAGTGGCTGACTGTGGAGGAGTAGTTTATTGTTATTAGACAAACACACGAACAAAACCAAACAGAAACCAAATCCTGGTGGAACAAGTCACGTGCAACTTTCTGTGAGAAAGTGTAGACAACATGTTAAGACAGACAAGAGAATAAGACACCTGGACCTACCCAATATTCTTAAGAAACAGGGAAAAGACCATCTTTCTATTTTTTCCACTGTGACACTCAGTATGTGTGTCCTCAGATATTCACTAAGAAGGAAACCTGGACAAAACTATTTTGCAAGAGGAAAGAAAGAACATGTTTTTATTATATCTGGAAGATATAGTGAATATGACAACATTTATCTGTTTAGATCACTAGAAGGATTAAACTCATATAATGATTAGAGCTTGGGAAAAAAATACTTGTGTATAATTTATGGAAATTGTTGTACCATTAGGGAATAATTTTCTTGAAGTACACGCGTTTTTTACTGATTTCTGATGCACTTCAAGTCAGTTTTCCAAAGTAATAAATATTCCCAGTAAGTGAAAAGATTTCATCTCATGTTGAGCTTCTTGTATCCCACTCTGATTGTTGTTACTCTTTGTTGTCGTAGGTGATAGGGGATACATTTTTTCCTTACACTGGCAGTACATCCAGTCCAAGTTTGCTTAAGCAACTTTTTAAAGCCTCCCAAATACCTACAAGCTGAACATAAAGGAAGCTCTAAACCATTATCATCAATCTGCTTGGAGTGACTACCAGACTGGGAATGAAGCCAGCCACCTAGCAGTGGGTGTAACAACAGAACAAAAATACTGTAGGAATGAGGCCTAGAGCCATGATATGTCATCAAGGGATGACTGTGGGCAGGATGGCTTGCTGATGGGGTGACAGGTCATCAGGAGGATTGTAGCTGACTCTTACTGCTGCAACTGGCCAGGTGAAAGAGTGAGTGACACCAAGGCGTCCCTAATGTTTTGTGTTCCACCCTTGCACAAGATCCACAGGTTTCTCTCTCTGTATCTTTCATTAGCATACAAACTGGCTGCCCCCTCTCCACGTTCATGCAGTTCAGGCAGTAATGGTGTTCGGCTGCAGTCTCACGTTCACTTCTCCCAGATGTATGAACTGCTATTTGAAATCCTTCATGGCAGAGGATGAGAACATGAGCACCTCGCAGGCAAGTCAATGGGCTTGCTCCTCTCTCCTCCCTAAAGCAGGGACACCTCTTTGGCAGGATTTGACCCCCAGCTGTGTTGGCGTGCATCCGGGGACACTTGCACATAGCACTGTACACTTTTTTCATGTCTAGTGAATCTGTCTCCTGAAATCTAACGAGAAGCTGTAACTTGATGTCCCAACAAACTGAACTACTGGTGAACCTGAATGTGAACCATTGAATGTGAGTGGACTTAAGAGTGGCAAGTTGCTTCTAATCAGAAATTAAGCACAGCTACATCTATCCCCTCTGTTCTCTGGGGATCAGCTGGGAACCAAAACAATTTATTTTCTGCCAGTCTTCTCTACTTTTTATACAAAAAATACACAGCCAGGTCTCAGACTAAAAACCCAGTTTATCTGACCTCTTCATCCAGACAGTATGACTTACAGACTATTGCCTTTCTAATCACATATTATATTCACAGGAGACAGGGGGACAACAAAATGGCATTTAAGACTAGCTTTCACCAAAATACAATCAAAAACAGGGGCCAGATATCCCAAAGTACTGTGATAGTCATAACTGCCTCTATTATATGGCATGGGAAAGCAAATGGCTGAATTGTACTTTTTGTCATCCCTATTCATTCTCTTCCCATTTATTGTCAGAATACAGACCTGTACTCATTTGGCATTGATATCAATTATTGCTCAGTTACTCATATGAGGGAAGAAGAGTATTTCATCCAAGTACCTAACTTTTTCCCATGTCAGTGTGTTTGTATTTGCAAAGCATTTAAGGTGTCTAAGTAACATCAAGTCCTCATGTAATTAATTGTTTACGTATCTAAACATATTAATACACATTTTTATACAAACACACACACACACACACACACACACACACATTCCAATGATATGTATCCACAAGAAATAAGAAGTAAAAGCCAGGAGAAATAAAACATTTTTCCTGAAAGAACATAGGTAGAAAAAGATTAATGGAAGCTTGGAAGTATGAATCATGATATGGAATACAAGATGGCAGTAGTATTTAGCAGGTCCCTGACCCATAATTGAAAAGATTACTTTATTTCAGCATGTTCTTCCACTGCTAGAATATTAAGAAAACAAGTGTTTCTGTAACTCTTTATTTTGAATTCTCATTATGCATCCTATAGAATTTTAGTAGTAGAGACAACATATAATCTAACATAAATAGATATTATATTCTAGTACACAGCTGAAATGAAAATTAAGTAGCAAAACAAAACAAAACAAAAAGACTATGAAGTCATAAAGCAGAAAATGAAAGTGTTGTCAAAAGCATACACAGGGGGGGAAACCCTAAAAACCAACAAATGAAGAAAGAAAACTTCTCCTACAGAATAATTAAATGTCAAGATTTTGAAGAAATGGGAGTCTATAAATAACTTCAAAGCACCCAGCATAGCACTCAGAATTTATACACAGGAAAGAAGGAACATTAGAGCTTGTCCTTATCATGAGTGCTTTTGGCTTGATACAAATTGGCCTCATACTGTCAAGCACCACCATCATCTCCAGTCTTCAGTGCAACCACCTCCCTTTGCAGCAAAGAAAAGTGATCAAGAACAGCCTGCGACTCTTGGATAAAATGGGAAAAAAGTTTCCTGAACAATGTCTAAGAGAGAAAATGTCCTTCAGATTTCCTACACAGGTTCTACAGCCCAGGCAGAAAGAGACTGTTGGAGTTGCCATTGAAGAGATATTCCAACATATCTTCTATATCTTTAGCAAAAATCTGACTCTAGCTGCTTGGGATGGAACAGCTTTGGATCAGTTCCAAAATGGGCTTTATCTGCAGATTGAGCAATTGGAGGCATGTGTATTTAAAAAGCACACTCAACACCACCGGAGTAAAGAAGCCAGCAGGCTGAAACTGAAAAAGTACTTCCAAAAAATAGACTGTTTTCTTAAAGACAAACAACATGACCTGTGCTCTTGGGAGATCAGCCGTGCAGAAATGAGGAGATGTCTCCAATTGATTGATAAGGTGACAAGGAAGCTTAAAAACTAAGGTACAAAGATTTTAACCTCACATAATTTATAATATTTATAAACAAATAATATAAATAACATTTATTATTTGTTCTATGATATATCTTGTGGCAGTGCTCTAGTTAATTTTTATTGTATTTAAATAATTTTGCTTCTGAAATTTAATTTTGCAAATGTAATGCATTATTCAATGTAATGTAATTTGTTTCCTTGGTAAGCAAGCTGTCTACTCTAGCTATAAATTAATCCATAAGAATTTTTACTGAGGGCTACTCCCTAGGAAGATATTGCAGCCTTTGACTGACAGTGACATCTTACGGTGTTTTCTGCTGAGAAAACACACAGCTACTTTCCATCTCTATTTTACCTACATGTAGAGAATCACATATTTGTGAACGAACTTCACATCCCACGCCACACAGGAATTGCTAGATTTGTACTGATCCAGACTGCATCAAATAGAAAGTAGTACACTGCATATTTAAGTGGTCCTGACTTAGGCTGAGAATATGCATTTTTCTTTGAAAGTTTGTATCCTTTTTTCCAAGCAAGTAATTTTTTTTTTTTACATTTGAGTAATTCTGACATTTGCTTTGTTCAAAGATGTAAAGTAATTCTAGAAAGATTCGTCTATGTACTACATTTTTCACAGTAGTTATGGCTTCTGAAGTAACTTTCCAATTGGACAGTGTTACTTTTAATTGAAATATATTGCCTTTAACTGTTTGGGAGCAAGGGTTTTATTCCTTCCTGCAGTGTTTCCAATTCACTTCAACTTTTTTTTGTAGGATTATTTGAAGTAACTTTTCTGTGTAAAAGCCATATCTGCCTGTGGCACATTCTGCTTGCTCATGGGTATATTCATGGGCATATTCATCCTGGCTACTGCAACCTCAAACATCATCACCCAGTGCTGTGCTTTATTGCTGCACGAAATATGCTTCTTTCCCTTTGCTCACAAATTGAACTACATAGATGTATAGCCTTCCAATCAATTTCTCCTCCAAACCACACAGCCTTCAGTAACAATTACAATATAATCAAATTCCTTAAAACAGCTTGCAATAAAACTGAGCCTGGACTTTACCCTTGGGAAACTGTCCCTGGGTAACTCCATTTCAAACAGTGTGTTTTCCCTAATGACTTGCTATGAGGAGAACACAGCTATATCAAGTCTCTTTTACCCAAAGGATAGCATTAAAATTTGGTAATACCCCAACAACCTTAAAAAAACACCAAAACCAAAACATATATCTGTGACCACCCTGATGTATATTTGGCACTTCAGGCTTTTGGGTCTGGTGTAAAGAAGCAGAGGAGGGAGCATATCTGTTAGTTATGCTCTCAAAAGAGTTAGTGTTAGTCCTGGAGGGCTGAAATTGCCAGAGATTGGTTTAAGCCTCAGGAAAAGAACAACTTTAAAGCTTTTACTCATCTCCAGCCATTCCGAAGAGCACCACTGAAAGTGGAGATAATAAAAAGTGTATCTAAGTGGAAAATGGACTGGTATGAACAGCAGTGATGATGCACAGGGTCTCAGGTGTCATAGATAATGACACAGGTCTCTTTTGCAGGGTGTCCATACTCTACCACTCATGGATGCAAGATACAGAAGAGATGGCAGATGTGGATCTCACGGACGAAGCTGAAATACCAGAAACAAAACCAGCTAGAAACTTCACCATGATCCAGAACAACAAAAAGGACCAAAAAACCAGAGTAAATTATTAGAGTAATTTTTCCATCTGCTGACACCCTGCTAGAAATGTTACAACAAAATATGTATTCTTTGCTTTATAACTAACAGCCCTGGAAATGGACCCACCCTGGGACTGTTTCAAATCTCATTTCTGTTGCTTGTTTTTTTAATATTTCTTCAAACCTATACAATAAAATTACATTCAGCCTTCTTGCCCTTCTGGTTCTGGTATCCTTGGGTGGCTTTTGCAATGCAGAAAACTGTTATTGAAATGGTCTTGCTTTCACTGAAATTTGGAAATAGCATGAAATATTTTTCAGCTGCTCTCTTGTGAGGGATTCCAGTTTTTATTGCCTAACTTGTCTGCAATGGGAATATGTTAATTTATGGCCCACTAATTGTTCAGAAACTTTTGTATCATTAAGTTTTCTTTTTAATTCACAGTTGTCCTTATAAATCTCCTCATCAAATAAAAATCTGTTTTGATGTATTTCAGTCAACATGTTACTTTGCAGTGCGGGAGAAAACCAGAATGGGCACTAGAGGGCAAAGTGAAATTAGAGACAAATGTAAGAATTTTAGGTGAATGTTCATGTGTTTTGGCAAGACAGTGTTTCAATCCCCTATAAGCATGCTTACCAATAAGGTGCTAAGGAATTAAAAGAAAAACTAACTATTCTTGAGAAAAAACAAGAAGATCTCAGAGATGATGGAAAGGAGCCCATAAAGCAACATTTGATTTCAATTACTTTTTGTACAGCTGTGAGGCAACAGAAATTATTTGTATTGAGACAATATCTAGAAGGCATTTAAATATGGAGACCCTGGAACAGTCATGGTCATAGGACAAATAAAAAGGAAAAACAAAATTACAAGCCAATATGCCTTTATTTTATTCTTACTTTAAAGAAGGGTAAGGACTCTTAAGCGTAAGGTAAGAAAGATGGAGATTCAGAAGATCATTTCTCTTCATCTTGCCCTCGTAACATTTTGGAGTAATATGGATTTCAATGCCATTGTGTTACCAGGGGAGCTGTATATTATGCCTCTGGCTAGCTGAAACCCTCTGGTATTTTCTCCAGTTAGTATTTTTCTATAAGTTAAACAGATGAGGCAAATACATACATAATTTCCATTATTTTCAAGTGGAAATTAATACAACAGTAAATGTGAAGTCTCAAATCCCCATGGAAAGTTTAGCATAGATGAAAAAAAATCCTTCCAAGAAGGGACTGATTTTAAGCCAAGAAGCTTCATAAATTTTTCCGTAAGACTTACACACCAGTGCTGTGCAGCACAGGTTCTGGTCACAGCTGTGGCTGTTCTCCTGGCTAGTCTCACAGCACCTTGTTTATCTGTGTTGTGCTGGACTTAGCTGTGCTGCACTTTTGGGCACACTAAAAACGGCAAGTTTTCATCTATGCAGAGTTAGTTTTCTGGCATAGATTTATGGGACTGGGGTCAAAAGCCTTGTCTTCCACATGAAATTCAAGAATAGCTGCAGCAGAACTAAAGAATGCTTATTCCAGACATTATTTTGGAAAAAATTATTCACAAAGATCAGTCAACTATCAACTACAGCTGTTCAATGCACTTGGTCCATTGGTTTGGCATGCTCCATCAGCTCTGGCTTAATTTTTAAATTGGGGAAATAAAAAAAAAAAGCAAACTCAAACCAGAAGAAAATCCCCAAGCAAAACAGGACAAAAGCCTGTGGAAATAAGTCTCCAAACAATCACCCAGGATTAGCCCTTGTTGCTTGTCCTTCAGAGCAGCCCTGGGGAAGTTGCAAGGGTGGCCATGGTGGAGAAGGGAGACCGACACCAAGGCTGGGACTGTGGGTGGGAAAAGAGATCAGGAATTGCTTATGGGAAGACAGTGCCCACAGACTGCTAGATCCTGCTTGTCCTCACCCCTTCCAATCCAGTCTGCCCCTGATTAGAGCTAGCCCTAGCCTGTTTTTCCCCCTCCCAGTTGAGAAGGAACACTGGGTTCTTCCACAGAGCAATCAGAGAGAAGACAAAGAAATGAGGGTGACAAAGATACAGAGTAAATCCTGAAATGAAGTGTCAGTTCTCAGTTTTAACTGATAGAATGAATTTACTTTGCTTCAGAAATTTAATGCAAAGCAAAACAATATGAACAAAGCAAGATTGCAATTGATACTTTCCAGCAAGGTGATTACTTTTTAATATCCAAAAATCTTCTAATCCTCATATTGGCAGGTATGAGTTGTTTGTACCATCATTTCCCACATTTCTCCTGACATCACTCAGGAAGCTGCAAGGGCTTCTTCAGTGCTGAGAGCTCCCAGAGAAGCAATCATCTGACACAGAATGTGAAGACAATCTTTCTTCTCAACCTTCACCCATCTCAGTGCAAACAACCTAGCCTGCAAACTAGAGGGAAGCTGCAGTGCTGCTGTGGGGCCACCCCTCTGCAGCCACACACTGCCAACCCCACCATGCTTCCAAACACCATTCAGGCTCTTCATCAGTTGTGTCCTGAATTAATTTTTTTTCTCTCTGTATGACTTCAAAATTGAAAATCCCATCTCATGTGAACTGGTAGCTCTCTGGTTTCATTTCAGTGGAGCTGAGGAAGAAGCAGTGGTAAGTGGTGAGCAGATGAGCACAGGGAAATTCATGTCCTGCCTCAGTTCTCTACACAAGAAGCTGCAAGGTTAGTAATTTTCTAAGACTAACCTTGTTGAGCCCAAATGCTCACAGTTAGAATCTTAAAACCACATTACCTTCATCAGTGAGGAATTCACTGTTCTAAGCAAATAATATAATCTGCTATATATAATATATAATAAAAGTAAACACAATTAACACTCCCTTCTAAAAAACAATTGTTAAAGCATGGATGTGCATTTGCCAAGTCAAAATCCACACTCGGGAGATTAGCTACTGAGATTTCAAATAGTGTTATCTCGCCCCTGCACACCAGCTACCAACACATCTACTCACTGTAACTCTTACTGTCTATACCATTCCTTAAGTGTATAATCCCTATTTCTTATCTTGGTAGACCAGAACCTGCACAACTTCCTCTGGATTTAACTGGAGTATTGTGTGTGTTACAGTTCCCAGAAAGGAAATATTTTGACAGACATATTTATATAAAACAGAAAGTTTTTCTTTGACAAAGTAGTAAAGCCTATTTGACTTCAACTGTTTTTCAAAATGTTGCTCTCTCTTTAAGCTATTAATATACTTTCTTTCCAAGTCTCTTTGGATTGAGTCTACTCTGTTGTGGTCTCCACTTTTTGCGAAAATCTTGCATTGGCCATAACAGACTTTTTCTTGTGATTATTA